CGAGGCCGATTAGATAACTACTTTTAAAAACGCGGTGGACGGGTATTTGAGGAGGACGAGTTTGCAGGGTTATGGGGAAAAGGCTGGGGAGTGGGATTGACATTACATTGCTCTATTCAGAGCCGACACAAACTCGATGGGCCGAATGGCCTCTTTTTTGTGCTGTACGATTCTATGATTCTATGAGTTGTATGTTCAGGGTTATATTGCTATGCTAATGGCTTTGCTATTTTTGTAAAAATTCTCCAACTCAGAATTTTCTTTTTATAACCCTAAAAGTAGTAGAAACTTTACACAATCATTCAGTTGCACAATAAGCTCAGATAAACATCGTTCTTAAAAATAGTAGAAGATCAGATTAAGAAATGGTTTTACCTTTGTTTTTCTCAGAACAATTTAGGACAGAGTGGTTCTTACAAACCCACATGGAATCTCCAAAGTAACCCATCTCGCATTTTATTTAAAATCTTCATAGAGGAATTTATAACACTTCTGACAATCTTCATTCTCAACTCCGCTTTGAAACACTCCCTCAATGCGGACTCTCAGAGGGATAAAACTCTCCTAAGAAGAAATGTGTTGCAATCTTTTCCAAAGCGACTTTTGCCATAAAGATTTGTAGAGTTGGCTTCAATTGCCCTTCAACTTAATTTCTCTTCCTCATTCTGTTGCCTTGGATTTTATAAAACTTTTATGAAATTGTCAAGTTACATTTACTTGATTAATTCACATAGCTTCTAACCTCTTCATGTTTACAGCACCCAATGCCAGTTTAATTCCTTGAATCATTGGGGATTGCAAACCATGATTTATTTATATTCACTCTCAAGTTCACAATCATAAAATATTTATTCAATGCATTTCAAAATTGCTGGGGTCCAGCTGTTAATTGACCAAAGACAACACATCATTTCGATACTTTAGGAATTTACTAGGATATTATTTATAATGCATGAACAAAACTATTAACCTCCAGCTCTTTGACCAAAATAATATGCAGATTAAAAACTACAATGTGGATTCCTGCCTTACCTTGCATTTTTGAGGGAAATTTACACCTAGATATCATTACCCTGGAACAAAATACCAACTGTTTCAGATTAACGATCTTTAAAAAAGTGTGGCAAGATACAAATACCATGGTTCACTTATTATCATTTATTTTAATCCTTTAATAATATAATAAACAGTTATCTTGAGCTGCATTTTGCAGAGTTTAACAGAATTTATTCTAGTACAAAGTAAAATGAATATTCAATACAATTTTCACATGGACTGGTAAAATATTGCTTTAGGTTACATAATTTACGATTAAATAAACAGCAAGTCACATTAAAATCCTTTAAATTATTTTCCAATTTACTTATCATTTTTTGGGGCCAAACCATGAACTAACAAATATGGATTCATATGGACTGATATAATAATGGTTATTTCTGCTTCCAAATAGTTTTAAACTAAGATATCTTCTTTAATGTCTATATGTAGCACTGAGTTCTTGTAATAGATCATAAAGTTTACTTGTTATTCACATGCTCCCAAGTATTTTTAATGATATGTAAATTATTTAATTATCATTAATTAATCAGTTTAATAACTAGTTTGTATAAGCAGCGCATTAACATAGAGATTGTGAGGGGATAAAAGGTTCCATTTGTGGCATTGAAGTTGTGATATTTGGAAAATCATAGAAATAGAAGAAATTAGTTGCTTTAAAAGTGTTTTCGGTCAATACTGATGAACCAAGACAGGGTTTTGTAGCAATCAATTTGAAGAAAGAATCAACACAACTGAATGTAGTCTTTTTATCTTTTGAGCTGCAATGGGGTTCAGTCCTTTGATCTCTTGTGATACAAGTGGATACAAGTTAACTGCAGAAAACTATCCATAAAGACAAAAGACCACTACATGCCTGAAAAAAAAGTCATGCACCACCTTTCTCTCACATCCTTTTATCGACTTTTTTTGCCAAATAGCTGTCAAATTCCCTCTTGATTGACACAATCAGTCCTACAATCTCCTTCGGTAATTCAATGTCACGATGTTCCTACTGTACTAAGGCACCAAAGTAGTACACACGGTACTCCAAGTGAGACCAGACCTATCATAGATCTCCCACCTTCCCTTTCTTTACCTTTCAGTCTTGTAGTTAATCCTCCTGCCTGACACTGTGTCGCTCAGGCACAGTCAAGTGTTGGGGCACAGTCAGGGAATTTTTGATTAGCAGCAAGTCCACGTCATACTTCATCTGAGTGGTGGATGATTATACTATGTGCCTCCACTGCAAAAAAAAATTCTATTTACCATCTCTCCAACCCCTGGTGAACACAAAGGTAGCAAAACACAGACGCACGCTGCAATTACTTGGAATGTTCATTTTAGTTACCTTGACAGTTATCGGCCTTTGGTCAGAACCTTACGACCCACTTGTCTGAACCCAAAGACATGAAAGTGGAACTGCAATGCCTGTGTGAGGGGTGGTATCCGGAGATAAATATTAAGTGGCTCAAATGACATGAGATGGAATTGTCAGGGACAAACGAGAAGCCAGTGCAGGGCCCAGCAAAACTTTTGAGAGTGCGCAGTAGTGTCATCGAGGAGCAGGACGCACAGAATAATTTCACATGCTCATACTCAAAAAGGTCCTGAGTTAGGAGAAACACTTTACTGTCCAGATATTGGGTCTGTTAAAAATAAAATCCCCTAATGTTTTAGACTGCAACTGGAGTACCGTGTTCAATATTGGTCCACTCACTTCAGGAAGGATGTTGCGGTGCATTAGTCTTATTCTTTTCTTTTGATTGGATTGCAAATAGCATTAAAAACACAATCATTTAAAGGGTTACTGAGCAGTGAATCATTGTTAAGATGCATGTGCACCAACCTGCCTCTGAGTGTGAGATCAAATATAATTTGGTTTGGGAAGTAAATTAAAATCTGTAGCACTGCCTGTTGTTAGGTGTTACCATAATTATTTTGTTTCTGTTACTTAGATATATTTCAATATTCTTAATTGAGAATAGTACTAAATGGGGCTGTGGGGGTGGGGATGGAGAGAAAAAAAGGGAAACATTATAGTAAGTTCAATTCAATTTTCCCTTTTCAGACATCTGTCTTAAAATAATTTAAACTGATTTCTACTCAGTGAAGATGTTCTTCAATTCCTTATTTTCTTGGTCAGCAGTTTTCTGAAGCTGCCTTGTCAGGTCTATTCACGGAGTAAAAGTTCTGTGGTTGACATATCCAAGAGGTCTGTTTTTTCCTTCTGTCATTATGTAGAGTTAAGATCAGCATTATTCCAGATCTCAGAAGATTGCAACATTAAAATCAAAGGATGCATTACTGACCAGGACTAATCTTTCTAAACAGGTCGGCGTCAACAATAATAACACATATATACAATTTTAAACTGCTGTGCGACAAAAACATGGAGCACAACAACAAATTACATTTATGTAGCAACTTTCATGTCGGGAGGATGTCCCAAGATCCTGGAGAGTTCTGGAGTTGCACCCGAGCTGGGGCTTGGGATCAGGAGAGGTGAAAGTAGGAGGGTGAACAAAGGCATGGTCAAAGATGAAGCTCTTGAGATGGGCCATTTGGAGGCAAAGGAAGGGGGCGAGGCGAAGGGACTGTGGGATGGAGTTCCAAAGGGTGGGGGCAGAAAGCCCCGACTGCCGATGGTGGGGCTGGTAAGGACTCGGAGCAGGCCAGGGACAGGAACAGGCAGGGATATGGAGCAGGCCAGATGACGCTGAGTGGAGGGAGCACCTTATATTTGAAAAAATGCAGAGAACTCTATAACATAGAGGTTGACTGGAGAAATCTTTTAAGTGTAAAAATTGTTCGAAAATCTGGTTTTGTCAGAGCTGTACTGTAAAATGGTAAAACAAAGGTTTTGAGTACCAGCATATTACATACTAAAATACTGGGTTAATTTAACTGACCAGCTGTAGGACATCATATGACACAATTAAATTGTAATTATGAATTTCAGTAAGTCTCTAAAAGATTCAGTTGCCCACCCTGTGTGCTAAACGCACAGCCCTATTAAATGAATGAGCTTCTTTTAATGAAGACAATTACATTCTTACTGTAATGTGCTAACCCCATAACGAACAAGTAGCAAAACACAGGTATCCACAGCAGAACCCTTTCTGTCTTGTTTGCAGCAACAGAATTTGATGACATACGCAGTTGTGCAATGAAGTTAAGATGCTGTAGCAGAAATTTCCACAAGTCATGAACAGAATCAGTATCAAAAGACTTGAACATTGTACTACATTCAGCATTTAAATATAATCAGACGCATGATTCCAGGAATAATAGCTGAGTTAGCTTATTATTTGCAGCAGAAAAACACTAGTAAGTTACAAAGGGTTTATGCCTATAAAAGGCATTGTAATCCTCAAAGAATGTAAGAGAGCTGATGGATAATGCTAAATGTTTCAAATTCATTTTCAAAGGGCAACTGATAAAGTCCATCACACAATAATTGGCTACAAAAACAGGAAATAAAAGGTAATTATTACAATTGGATTGTCTATTTTGTGTATTAATGCACTAATGTAAGAATAATATATTTGCAGAGCAATGCTAGATTACAGAATGACCTAAGGAGGTGAGAGATTTCTACAGAGATTTACGAACTAAACAGACAAATTGTACTCGATTACAGCAGTCCTTGTGCAAAATGCAAACTAATGTATCTGGGTGCTAGAAATAATGCAGGTTAATCGGCTGTTACTTATAAAAGGTACAAAAATGACAGCAACATTTAAGTTCTTCCATTCACGTTCAAATCAGTAGTGGCTGGTGTAATATATACGTGGAACTCTCAGTCCTGTTTGGATACTCTTAAGCATGGTGATTTCCTCATGTGTCAGACAGAGTATAACAGAAAATTGGTCTTTAGAAAATGGGACCAGTAACCTACATTGTAATTGTTTTTTCCAGTTTTGTATATTGTTTCATTTCAGAAACTTCAATGAGAAATAAGGTTAATTTGAACGCTTTAATGCAAAAAGTCTGAGACAGCCATATAATAAAAATCAGTTCTTTAGTGTTACGGCACTGGGGTATATTAAGCACATAGCTATCTATCAATATTATCAGTACATTAGCCAGATATGTTCATTGAAATGAAAAAAAGGATTTCTAACAGCATATTAAATAATTAGTAATAACAATAATTATATAACCTAGATTTTACAAACAGAGCAAAATGTACATATTTGTTCCAGTACAAAATCAACCATTTATATAAATTCAAAGGCTGCGATTTTGGCTTTGAGAAATAGTTTGGTCTTCAATCCTGATAAAGTTACATAATATATAAAAACACTTACCAAGATATTTGTAAAGAACTAACTGTCCAAAAAAAACATATTTTCCAAAATAAGTTAAACCTCCAGTGAAGTCATACATTTGCCTGAAAAACATTTGAAAACGAATTCACCGAAAAGGGAGCTTTACAACTATTAGTTTTAACCCTTTATCCCCAGAAACGTATAGAGATTTGAACAAATGCAATCTGGATGACATGAATCTCTACAGTTTTGAATCTTGTTCATGTCACATTAGCACAAAGCAGCCGCCACATCAATAGCACCAGCATGAAGCCATTAGGCCAACAAATCTGTCAAGACATTCATATTCCGGCTACACTAGCTATAGGCATACAGAATTATAAACAAAGAGTCATTCTGGATGTACAGAGTGTGCCCTGAGCTAAGTTTTAAATTACAGAACTTACTAAATACATCAATACATAATATGGGAGGGACGGGGGAGTGCAATACACATTGTATTGGACTCTGCAGTATTCCAGATTCTGCCCTCCATTATCAATGACAGTAGTACTGAAAGAATATCTTGGTTCCAAACATTATCTGGCTCTGTGGTTCGCCAAAAGAAAGTCTTTATCGCTGCAGGTTACACAAAGTTTGAGATTCCGAACTGAACCCCCAGCAGTAATAAACGCCCAGATGCCCATGACAAACAAAACAATATATGCCGGTATCAGGCTTCCTTCATACTGAGGATTCACAAATGTCTGTATGAAGAGGATAAGAAAAAAACATGTAGAATATTTAACAATGCACCATTGCACAATCCTGAAACAGTAACGATAATAATAATAATCCTTACATTTATATAGCACCTTATCTACGTCTTCGAGACGTCTCCAAGTGCTTCACAGAGCTTACTGTAAAGTGAATTAACCGTATATTTTGTAGGCAAAACATGGCAGCCAATTGCACACAGCAATGTCCCACAAACAGTTGTGGATTGAGTGACCAAATTATTAATTTTTTGTCAAAGGGATATTACCCCCTGAAAAAGCAATCCTCCACTTGACTAACAACTGGGTTCCTACTTACTGCTAAGTAAGCAGAGGTATGTGGAGTAAGGGAACTTGCCCAACATTACGGCTTGCCCGGGATTCGAACCCAGGTGCTCTCACTTCCAAGGCGAGTGCTCTAACCACTAAACTACAGGACTCAGTATGCAATGAACACAAGGAGGATTAATGAAATGTTCTCAATGTGTCTTTAGAAATCTTGCATAATGGATTAAAGTATTAAAGGAACACAGCTCATTTAGTCATTCATGCTTCCAATTTAACAAGGCATTTCATTAGATACACTAATTAAAAACAATAAAGATGAATATGAGAAAAGCAAAAGGAACCCCTAAACAAAAATAATTTGTATATAATAATCCTTGCATTTGATATAGCGCTTTCACGTCTTTTAGACGTCTCAAACCACTTCACAGAATAGACTGTAAAGTGAATTGACTGTATATTTGTGGGCGAAATGCGGCAGCCAATTGCGCACAGCAGTGTCCCACAAACAGTCGTGGATTGAAGTGACCGATTTATTATTGTTTTTTTCTTGAGGGATAATTAAACCTAAAATTTCCAAATATTTTATTTTAAAATTTGTGCTATTTAGTGTTTTCTTAAATCCATTTTTTGTTTGTACAATATAGAGTTTTAGCAGAAGACTTTGTCATTGTATTCTAATACATTACTATACGACTTACCACGCTGGACACTAATAGATGACTCAAGACGACTGCTGCCACCGCCCACCATTTCCTCTTCTCACAAGCATCAAAGAAAATGATTCCCCAGAACATGTGCAGCAGAATGATGGCCAGAGTCATAAATGCTAGAACAAAAGTGGTTAATATAGTTATTTTTTCATTGGAAATCTAGGTATTTTTAAAATGATACAAACAAATGAAGCACCAGTATCTTTGGTTTGATAGTTGGGTAACCATACAGTAACTCACCATCCCAGGAGATGGTTTATATCTGTTCTGTTGATTCCTTTTCTCAGCTACACAAAAGCAACACTCCCTAAAATCCAGGCTATGTTCTCAGCCACCCACCAATAGACTGGTTGGTTCATCTAGGTTCTGCTCACTCTATCCAATCACTGAGGAAATACCATGCATTGATTTTCAATTGGAGCCTCCGAGGCTACATATTTCTGAATTCACACAAACCTGTTTGGTGGAGGGTCTAGGCTGATTGATAGTATTATAGAATACTACAGCACAGAAGAAGGCAATTTGGCCCATCATACCTGTGCTGGCTCTTTTGAAGAGACATGCTTCAGCTGAGAAGAACTGTGTGAATATAGCAGCAGTGGAATCGAGACTGAGAACCTAGGATAGGGTTTTCTACAAATGTTTCTGCACTCTCTCTTGCAGATTTAAGAAAAATAAAGGCTATGCTAGTAAAAAATTGGCCAAGTGGTTACCATAACCTCCCATCAATGCAGCCAACACTAGGAACAAACAGGAAACCGGAGAATGAGTCAGTTTCTTTCCATTCGGCACCGCACATTCCGACTGAAATGCAACGTCTTTTTTGGGGGGCAAATCTGCCTTATGTAAGCGGATCTGGAGTTTTGCAGGAATTAATTTAAATTGCTCACAAACTGCATTTGAAAGGCATTTATGGTTTGATACTGCCCTCTGCAGTTCAATGTATGTTAACAAATTACAGCAGTCAATTGGTGTCCGTTCGGTCAGCACATTGTTCCCTTGCTTGGACTAAAACATTCCAGGTTCAAGCCCTCAATCACGAATTGAGCTTTCAGCTTTCAGGCTGTCCCTACAGTGCCATAAAGAGGGGAGTACTGTATTCTGATTACACCAAGGCCTGTTATGGTGGATGTCAAAGATCATATGAAACAATTTGAAAAGGGAATTTCTCCCAGTGTCCTGCCAGCCTAACAATCTTCCAGATAAATTGGTCAGTGTCCCAGAAACGGCAGAAGGTGAGGGCACTTCAGAGTAGACTGACTGCCTGTAAAACACTACAGGTCAGAATGTGAAAGCAGAACTCGTTTGTAACCTAAATTTAACTCTCTATCTCCGTTTTAGAGCATACTAAAACACCGTCAAAGAAAAGCAGCTGTTCACGTACCTGAAACAAGAAAGTAATATGGCGATTCCCCGTGAATGCCAACAATGCCTGGACCCAAAGAGTCAGCGAGGATATTTATTACTGAGAAGGCTCCACTCATAATGCCGAAGCCCAAGCCTGAAACTGTAGCAATTAACAGACACACATTTAAAATGCAGAGCAATCCTATTACATTACAAGTCACTTAACATCAGATTTTAAAAGAAAAATCTGCTCAGGCACACATTCCTCATGTACTCTTTTAAGTGTCTGGCTAAAGAGGATGTATTATATTGCTTTGTAAGTGGGTGGGTGATTGTAAATAATCATTGATGCATTGGAAGTGCCTTCTTCAGAAGAAGCCACAGCTTGCACAAAGATCTTGAAACTAAACTCATGTTTCTCAGCATTTTATTCATCTGGTTACTGTTTTCTGGTCTCCATTTAGTTAATTCACCTGAGTTGCCATAATAATTTTCCTAAGAATTATGAGTCTTATGGCTGCAATGAGCATTTCAATGTAATCAAACACCTGACTTGTAAAATATTTGATTCTTGCTCATCTACAAATCCAAGAATATCGAGACCAGTTTAAGTTCTGCATTCACGTATTAAAATAACAAATATCTCCAGTTTTCATACTGGGGGAAATTTCAACCAGAGGCCTACTACAGAACCTCCCCACATGGGAAACAGAAACAGAAAGTTACTTTGCACACCTCCTTGAAGCTGGCTACACAGCAATATAAGTTTTGGAATATATTGCCTTCCCTTCTCTACCTCTAAGACAGGGACTAGAGCGTGAAACACAGGTACCTAAAGGGAGTTAAATAAATCATTTTAACATGGCACAGGCACAAAGGGAAGTGGCTTGATATAATAGTGATCGTGAGCTCAAGAGGTCTTCGATCCTGGAATCAACCTCTTTGAATATTGAACTTAAAGGCTGCTTTGATGACCACCCACTAAACTATGTGCAACAGCACAGGCCTTCGGTGGGACAATCCTTTAGGACAACCACTTTCTATCTTGGTTGGTTTTGCGCTCTGAGATATTAGTATCATTTACTTAAACAACAGCGATAGTAGAGGCAAACGGAACACTATACCACCTGAGTGATACAGTTTACCCATATTTTCAGCAGGATAATTGTCATGAGAATCCATATGACTTAAGAGAGCATAGAGTGACGAGAGGATTATAAAATACTGGTGAGAGACAGGCCCAGCAATCAACAAACCTTTAGCACGTATGTATTTCACAACCAAGAACAATGCATGTGAAATAACACTCAAATCATATATTCTCAAGCACATCAAAGTATAAAGCTTGAATATGAATTGCACAAATTTAGAATTAGAATGACGCAAAGTTCCAAATGTACAGAGTATTCTGTAAATTGTAGTGACTGTGCATTTTGTAAGCAAATTCAATACTCAATAAATTAACAATACTTAAATGCAAGCCCTTTGACGCACACAGCATTAAACGTTTGACAGTACGCTACTTTTTAGTAGGTATTTGCTTCTTGCTTCTTGCAAGGGAGACTGAATCATTCAACCTTACCATAAGCTAGCTGTCTGATGGAAATGGGCACCACCTCTTCTCGGCTTATTGCCAATAAACCTTCATTGGCCTTTCTGAAAGGTTCAGGCACAGAGAATTCAAGTAAACAAAAGACATCTATACTGTAATAAATCTATAAATATTATAACTCTGGACCCAAATAATACAGATTTAAATAATACAAACATAAATTCAGAGTATCAATGTGGGACATACAGATTATCCTTATAAAAAGCTCTGAATAAATTTGATATAGAGCATGCTTAACAAAACAATTTTGGCTTTATTTATAAGTCTACTTATGTAATATGTTGTGCTACTTGAAAGAAAAAATCCTTTGAAATCGTAAACTAACAGTCTAATAAACAAAAGTTCTGTTGTTGCAATTGGATTCCTTCTAACAATAAAACCTATCATGCATATAAAAGAGACCACGGCTTTTCATAGGTACGATTGTAAGCAGCAACCAGAGACAGGCTGCTGCTGGCTAAAGTGATTGGCCACAATAGAGCTCTTCAGACAAAAGCTCTTTGAATGCATTATAAATCAGGGTTTCCTCCAGACTTTAAAGACCATAATCATAGAATTATACAGCACAGAAGGAGGCCATTCGGTCCAGCTTGTCTGTGCCGGCTCTTTGAAAAGATCCTACAATTAAATCGGTCAATTTGTTTTCAGTCATAATTTTATGAAAACCGGTCATCTATTGAATGTTGAATGTTATACTGACCCCCCCCCCAACCCCAAAGGAACCTCAGAGTATTGTACTTGTCACAAACATGATTTTTAAATTGCACCTCGCTGGAGTAATCCTTCTGCATTTTCCACCATTTCAGAGATCTGAGCATTGATGGGATCTCTGAGGCTTTTCAGTATCGACTACTACTCCAGCATCCACTACATAATAGATTATACTAGATATCTCTCAAATCACTGATGGGGATTTTCAGTAACCGCAGTTACTGAACTGTGTGGGTATTTTATGCATGAGTAAAATACAGGGAAGTCCCCCACATGAAACAGTGTACATATTATCTAATAATTAGGTTTAGATCTTGGGAAATAGCCAGTTAGATCTCAGTTGGGATGGTATTTTCCCTGCAATACAGAAATGAGGGGAAAGAGGAAATAAACAGGATTTCCCTCTTCTGATCTCTATCCTGTGACCTCTGATCAATATTCATGTGTGACTGTCAGTTGAGGATTGGATTGGGCTTTGTTGTGATAGACTAAAATGGCAAGGATCTCAAGGATAGGCTCACACATAAGTGTGGTTACTTGGGCGAGATATTAAAGGACTTGTGGGCACCTTTAGAACATGTGATTCTTGTTCACTTGTTTGAATAATTTAAATAATTATTTGGGGAGAACAAGATTGCAAGGCTATGGGAGAGGATTGATTTGGATAGCTCTTTTCAAAGAGCAGGCACGGATACGATGGGCTGAATAGCCTCCTTCTGTGCTGTATAATTCTATGAAATGCCATTTTCATAAGGAGGGATGGAGGGGACAGAGGAAAGCTTTAGCAGATTGTCCAGAGTTGACTAATAATAACTCAAAACCCACAGTTATGGTGAAATCTAGCACAATGGTACTCTACAACACAACTTTCTCGTCTAGAATTCTGTGAATCCCCCCACTGGAACATGCAAAACATGTACAAAGAATGGAAAAGAACCTTACATTTGATTTCACTAATCTGAAAATCTGTTAATAGTTAACTCAAAACAATTACTCAGGTTAAAAAAAACCAAGTGGGCTAACATTTTCTTACTTCAATAGCTTGTAGTAAGCAAAGCGAAAGATTTCTTGAAGAAGTACTGATAAAATGACTCCAAAAATGAGAAGGCCTTTCTGCAGGGAAGCATTTTTCTTGTTACTCATCTGAACAGCAATGAACCACACAAAGGATGACAGCAACAACGATACCAGCCAGAAGAAAGCCCTAGAAAACAAAAAAAAAACAGACGTCTTGAAAAGTTACAACCAGTCCCGCAGCCCACTAATATCGAGGCAAAGTAACTTTTTCTAACTCGTCCTCCCTTCTGTCTGCACACGGGCACATCGCTATATGAATAAATAAGTTTAAACGTGGTGGAGTGGAGTTTCCAATAACGTGGACTTATCGACAAATGATTTGGGCCGGAGAGCTGATCTCTTTTACATCAATCGATGGACACTGTCGCTACAGTATCTGCAACAGGCGACCAGTAGGTCAGTAACCTACAGTGTAACAAGCTGGTACAGTGTCAGTGTTATACGCAGCCTGTTGGTGCATTGTCAGTCTTATAGGCTGTAGGTGCAGTGTCAGTGTTATAGGCTGTAGGTACAGGCGGTGACACGGGTTGTAGGTACAGGCGGTGACACAGACTGTGGGTACAGTGGCGGTGACACAGACTGTGGGTACAGTGGCGGTGACACAGACTGTGGGGGTACAGTGTCGGGGACACAGACTGTAGGGGTACAGTGGCGGTGACACAGACTGTGGGTACAGTGGCGGTGACACAGACTGTGGGGGTACAGTGTCGGGGACACAGACTGTGGGGGTACAGTGTCGGGGACACAGACTGTGGGGGTACAGTGGCGGGGACACAGACTGTGGGGGTACAGTGGCGGGGACACAGACTGTGGGGGTACAGTGGCGGGGACACAGACTGTGGGGGTACAGTGGCGGGGACACAGACTGTGGGGGTACAGTGTCGGGGACACAGACTGTGGGGGTACAGTGGCGCGGACACAGACTGTGGGGGTACAGTGGCGGGACACAGACTGTGGGGTACAGTGGCGGGGACACAGACTGTGGGGGTACAGTGGCGGGGACACAGACTGTGGGGGTACAGTGGCGGGGACACAGACTGTGGGGGTACAGTGGCGGGGACACAGACTGTGGGGGTACAGTGGCGGGGACACAGACTGTGGGGGTACAGTGGCGGGGACACAGACTGTGGGGGTACAGTGGCGGGGACACAGACTGTGGGGGTACAGTGGCGGGGACACAGACTGTGGGGGTACAGTGGCGGGGACACAGACTGTGGGGGTACAGTGGCGGGGACACAGACTGTGGGGGTACAGTGGCGGGGACACAGACTGTGGGGTACAGTGCGGGGACACAGACTGTGGGGGTACAGTGGCGGGGACACAGACTGTGGGGGTACAGTGGCGGGGACACAGACTGTGGGGGTACAGTGGCGGGGACACAGACTGTGGGGGTACAGTGGCGGGGACACAGACTGTGGGGGTACAGTGGCGGGGACACAGACTGTGGGGGTACAGTGGCGGGGACACAGACTGTGGGGGTACAGTGGCGGGGACACAGACTGTGGGGGTACAGTGGCGGGACACAGACTGTGGGGGTACAGTGGCGGTGACACAGACTGTGGGGGTACAGTGGCGGTGACACAGACTGTGGGGGTACAGTGGCGGTGACACAGACTGTGGGGGTACAGTGTCGGGGACACAGACTGTGGGGGTACAGTGTCGGGGACACAGACTGTGGGGGTACAGTGGCGGGGACACAGACTGTGGGGGTACAGTGTCGGGGACACAGACTGTGGGGGTACAGTGGCGGTGACACAGACTGTGGGGGTACAGTGGCGGGGACACAGACTGTGGGGGTACAGTGGCGGGACACAGACTGTGGGGGTACAGTGGGGGACACAGACTGGGGGGTACAGTGGGGGGACACAGACTGTGGGGGTACAGTGGCGGGGACACAGACTGTGGGGGTACAGTGGCGGGGACACAGACTGTGGGGGTACAGTGGCGGGGACACAGACTGTGGGGGTACAGTGGCGGGGACACAGACTGTGGGGGTACAGTGGCGGGGACACAGACTGTGGGGGTACAGTGGCGGTGACACAGACTGTGGGGGTACAGTGTGCGGGGACACAGACTGTGGGGGTACAGTGGCGGGGACACAGACTGTGGGGGTACAGTGGCGGTGACACAGACTGTGGGGGTACAGTGGCGGGGACACAGACTGTGGGGGTACAGTGGCGGTGACACAGACTGTGGGGGTACAGTGGCGGGAACAGACTGTGGGGGTACAGTGGCGGGGACACAGACTGTGGGGGTACAGTGGCGGTGACACAGACTGTGGGGGTACAGTGGCGGGGACACAGACTGTGGGGGTACAGTGGCGGTGACACAGACTGTGGGGGTACAGTGGCGGTGACACAGACTGTGGGGGTACAGTGGCGGGACACAGACTGTGGGGGTACAGTGTCGGGGACACAGACTGTGGGGGTACAGTGGCGGGGACACAGACTGTGGGGTACAGTGGGGGACACAGACTGTGGGGGTACAGTGTCGGGGACACAGACTGTGGGGGTACAGTGGCGGGGACACAGACTGTGGGGGTACAGTGCGGGGACACAGACTGTGGGGGTACAGTGGCGGGGACACAGACTGTGGGGGTACAGTGGGGGACACAGACTGTGGGGGTACAGTGTCGGGGACACAGACTGTGGGGGTACAGTGTCGGGGACACAGACTGTGGGGGTACAGTGGCGGGGACACAGACTGTGGGGGTACAGTGGCGGGGACACAGACTGTGGGGGTACAGTGGCGGGGACACAGACTGTGGGGGTACAGTGGCGGGGACACAGACTGTGGGGGTACAGTGGCGGGGACACAGACTGTGGGGGTACAGTGGCGGTGACACAGACTGTGGGGGTACAGTGGCGGGGACACAGACTGTGGGGGTACAGTGGCGGGGACACGGGGCCGTGGTCTCACCCCGCGATCAGGAAGATGACCCTCAGCGGTTCGCGGGCGATTGTGAAGAGGAAAAGGGAAAACACGGGCCCGAAAGCGATGAAGGTGCAGCCGAAGAACACGGCAGCCGTCATCCTCCTGTCGCTGCAGCCGCCTCCCGCCCGGGGGCCCGCGGTCAGACACAGCCTCCGTCAGCCCAGCGGCCGCTCCCTCCCGCGCGCTCTGCCTCTCTCCCGCCGCGCGGGTCCTCACTCCTCCCACAGCGCCGCCCAGCGGCCGCTCCCTCCCGCGCTCTCTGCCTCTCTCCCGCCGCGCGGGTCCTCACTCCTCCCACAGCGCCCCCCGGCGGTCCGCTCCGGCCTCGCAGCGCCACCTACCGACCGGCACAAAGCACCTCCTGCTCCCACTGTGGTGTGTGACGTTTGAGTCGGGGCCACTGCTCTCTGCCCCCCCCCACACACCCCCCACACCCCCCCCCCCCATCCCGTGAGCAATAAGGTAACATTCACCCAAACCGGTTGGTGGCATCTCTGGCGAACCATTGCTGAGCGGTGGCAATGATCAATGATGTAACCGTTGCATTTGATACCGCGCCTTACGATGTCGTTGGGACGTCTCGAAGCGCTCCGCGGGATATGTTGTGAAGTGAACGGGCTACACATATATTTTTAGGCGAAACGCGGCAGCCAGTCGCGCACGGCGGGGTCCCACGCACTGCGGTGGATTGAGCCACCAAATTCGGGGAAGGGATTATTGCTCTGGGAAAAGCGATCCACCAATCGACTAACAACCAATTTCCTGCTACTTACGTAAACAGAGACACGTGGACGAAGGTTTCGCCACAACAGGGAAGCGAACGCGGGTCTTCTCGCTTGCAAGGCTCGCGCTCTCATCGCTAGGCTACAGAACTGGTAACCTGTACCATGAATTCCAAGTGACTTGGGCTTGAAACCACAACTGGTTGGCCCAATAACGTTTCCCTCTCTGCAAGTCTCTCTGGAATCATGGCCTGGGATATATGAACTTGTGTACAGAAACCCAAGGTACCTTCTTCCACCAGTTGTTATCCCAAATCCTTGATTTTCCTCATCAACTATTTGACGAACATCTGCCTTCAGCATGATGGAAAGATGTTTGCTATGTGCCAGCTACAAAGAGTGTTCTGGATGTCCAAGTTCAATGCCAGGTTTGTGTTAAGCAGTTGCAGGAAAGATTTCATGGTTACATCATCTAAACTCTGAAATTACTGCTTAAATCTTTGGGGAATATTGAACATCGGTAAAATGCAAATAAGATACTTCATCTAATGGATGAATAGCAATCTCTGAAAGATTAATCATCACTGACCACAAGCTTAATCAAGTGATGATCAGAAAAACTCAATACTACAGTTAAAACAATTGAACTCATTAAATAAGTCAAAGCACAAAATACAGAGGAGGAGGACTATATGTACTTCTAATTTAACACCATAATGGCTGAGGGAAGTTAACAATGAGATTTGTAGCATCGACTCAGTGATGGGAATAGGATTTGCCTACAGGAAATAAGAGCTTATAAGATTTATACAAAGAGGGAACTTCCCAAATATGATCAATTTGGAAAATCAGGTCATGCAGATAGACTAATAAATGAAAATAATTCTTAAAATTTAGACAAAATTAAATTTTTAGAATTCTGAAGCTCAATGATGAATTCTAAGACTGTAGTTTCCATTATTAGAGGTGGACAGCTGATACTGCTTGGATCGGGCCAACAAGTTCCTGTGTAGCTCGATTAAATATTGTGCTGTTCCATGTCTTGTAGATTGCTCAGCGATTCTCAATCATCAAACCCAAATTGCCATCATTATCAGAATTCATCAAGTGCTCCTATCGAATGGTTAATGATTGGTTAATAAAAATACTTCATACATGACAATTTCTCAGTATATTCATTCATGTGGATTTCATATGTGCTATCATTAAAGGCGAATATTAAATCTCTGAAGAAAGTTACATGAAAATATCACCTTTATTTTCCCAAATCATTAAAAAGCCTTAAGCTAACATTCCAAAGTTCAGATGAGTGCAGATGTCTTTCTAGAATTACCAGCTATTCAGAAATGCTTGCAATGCATCTTCATAAAGATTTTACAACCAATTGACTAATTTTCAGGGGAATGGAAAAATAGCTACTTAAAACAGTTGGATATTTGTCCCTGAAGTGCTTATGATAATTAATTACCCAATTAATCAAGAATGTTTTATTTTGCCATTTAATCTTTATTTCAGACGCATATTATAAAAAGTTCACACTGAATAATAAAACCCACCAAGTTTACTTTACAGAACATGAGTACATATGAATTAAATCAGACTTAAAATGTTAACACTTGTCACAGGAACCTGTTTCATTTATTTAGGTACAGACGCTTTCAATATCTGGATAGGGACTTGAAAATGCTGTGCTTTTAGAAGTAGCTTAGAGTTGAAAACAAACTGAATTTAACTTTTCACAGCCACTTGTGTTTAAAAATAATTTTGGGATGCCCAGGTGGGGGGAGTATTTAGGTTAGAAAGGAAAGTGTGCTGCTGTTGACGTCTTAATACAAACACTAAAAATAACGATGGTCCCTATTAAAAGTGTCATCAGCAAACTGTATTTGTAAGGCCATAGGAATACACTAACATTCTTATTTACTGTCCAGAAGAACTTTAAATTGATTTTATGCAACATGATAACAATCATGGGCACAAATTACATGTGTTTACAAGTTACCGCAAACTCACATATGCCATACTTTGCACTCCACATGACCTATTAAAATAAACAATGAATTTAAGAATCAACACAATAATAAAGTGCAGCCCTGAAACGTTAATACTGCTGCAAGTATGCAATTACTTCTATATCAGAGTTTCTTGTAAACCATACAATGATTATTTTACAAAACAGTAAATTCAGTAAATCCACAGGGTATAATCTTGCTTTATGAAAATTAGTATCTGCTGTATCCTACCCCAGTTCTGCAATCTTAATGTTACAGCTCTTGTGAATATGCTCACAACATGAAAGCATTATTTAATATTTAAATTGCAAATATTTCAATTTACCGCTTTTGCCATGCAGAAAGTGAAATTCCTATGGTCTTACACAAAATGTATTTACAATTTAGCAAAGCTACACTTAAGAAAATAGCAAACAAACATTTATTTATACATCAGAGCATATACCTCAGCACATTGCTGGATCAAGAAGCACATCTGATTTATTCATTACAGGCCGCTGGGGAAAGTTGTTCTTGGGAGACTGGTATGGATGTGTACACATTCTTAAAGGAAGGCAATTTCCAAAAATTGTCAGTAACAAGTTATAAATGAAGTTAGTTTCTCCTAAGACACCTGAGATGCAATTGGATTTAAAAGTGTGTTCCCAAACAATAACCTGTTAATCAAAACCATCATGAGAATTTGTAATCTTCAAACAAATAAGTTGGTCAACATTGTTAAAAACACACTTTGAAATTGCAGAAGACACTGTCCATACAGAATAATTACTGCTGTTCTATAGATCTAAAAGCAGACTACAGAAATACTGGGATTACTACACAGTGTGTCAATACTTTCTATGGGTTTAAAAAAATGATGCTCAATATTACCACCACAGTGCTTTAGGAGTTAGTACATACAAAATTCTAGTGCTGAAAAAAATAAAATGCGCAATAGCGAGCAGATACAACATATCAAACAAACCAGATCAAGTTAAACTTTGTATTTGGTAGCAAATGAAGGCTAAAAAAAAGTGCAAAGTACAAAAACATACAACAGCTTTTGCAATAGGCAGTTCAGGTTAATAAAACAGAAGTCTACAGAGATTATTATTCCCCACGTCTCCAATTCAGCGATTTCCATTTTCATCATATGATGTTCAAGACAGGCGAAGTTGGTCACTTGTGTGTACCTCTACAACCCACTCGGGGAAGTTCGACTGATGATATGCATACAGCGGAGTTCTCAGTAGCAGAAGGTGGAATTTATTTTCTGAGGCTGATCAACACTGTGCTTTCAGAGAACCAAAATGATCATCCTTGGTATGCTGCAGTCTATCGTTTTGAGTCCATCAAAGCAGTGTACACCGGAAGAAGCTACTTTTCTTTGACTGGCTCTTTGCAGTTATTTTAACTTGTCCAGTGCTGCCTGGAGGGCTGTTTTCATTCTGAAAACGGAGGGGGGGGGGGGGGAAAGAAAAAAAAAGTCCTGTCATATAGTCTTAGTGTCACTGCATCCATCAAAAGTACTGTACCTTTCAGAAGTCATAAGAATTATTTCTTTAATAAAGTTTTAAAAATCAAGATCATAAGGCACATCCAGTAGAAGCATTATTGGATTGCTGCCTACTTAATCTTTCCATGTAGATTTGATTAAACTAGTAGGCCACCATGTCCCACTTGAATTATTTATTTTGTTGGCCGATCATGAAACAGATCGAAAAGGAAGCCAGAGAAGTCTGCAGATCAGACCACCTGGTTCCTCCAAGCAGGAAGAGGACATACAGCAGTTAGGAAGAGAACAAATGGCTGCAATGCAAACATTTAATAAAATGTTTCTCTGTCAAGTCACTGACATTTGCATTAGTGTATAGTTTGTAAAGTGACAAAGATGCTTCTTTGTGCAAAGTTTAAAAAAAGTTTTAAATTTGTAGCTAGCAACAACTTTACATACCATTTTTCTGTTGAACTTCGTCATGATATCTCGTGCAAGTGTGAGAAATGCCTAAAACATAGTTTTCAGAACATCAGGAATTGCTTACATTCAATGGAAATTAAAAATAGTAATAAAATAACTAGGCGGTTAGTTTTGGCTCAATTTATATAGGAATTATTTAAACATTATGCTAAATATCACAAGTTAATACTTTCTCAAGATTCCTTACCTCTTCAACATTTATGCTGGATTTTGCACTCGTCTCCAGGAATTTAATTCCATAATCAATTGCTAACTGTGGAAAACAAACAATAACAATCAATACCAAAAGAACAATATTGGAGAATTACTAAGAAATAAAGCATTAAAATAGAGCCCAATTAATTTACTGTCCAAGTCTTCAGTTCAAGCTCCTAGCCAGCTCTGTGAAGTGCTTTGAGATATCCTCCCATCATGAAAAGGTGTATAAATGTAAAAATATTGTTGTTGCACACTTACCTTCTCTCCTCTCTCCTTGGAAACCTGCCTTTTGTCATTCATGTCACACTTGTTACCCAGAATCATTCTTTCCACATCTGAAGATGCATGCTAAAAAGGTTGAAAAACATTGTGCTCTTAAGGAAGATTATATAAAACTACAGTATAAGACAGACCATATTTAAGAACAACCTACATACATTCAAATGCTAAGGTGAAACATAAGCAATTTAGCAAAACTTTTTTTAAAAAAAAGTTTCAAAATAAACAATTTCCTCCTTAAGCTTAGTCTCCACCAAAAGATGTCAGACATAAAACTGCTCACAGATCTATGCTTGGGTTGCTGATATTTTCGCACACATTTTAGCCACTGCAACAGAGAGCTACTACCCCCCACCACCCAATAATTCCATGGAACACCTAGTATCAATGAAGTCTTACAAAGTGCTCTGGCAATTCATTGGCAATAACCAATCACCTTAGAAATGTACATTTCTTTACTAATACAAACCTCATAGGAAACCAGGTCGTAAATTATGCATGAGAGAAATGGCTTGTGAGATAATGAAGTATACCCCATTTATTTACAAATATTACAAGCAGCAACAACGCACCTCCTCAATGTTGCGTATCCAGTTCTTGATGTTGTCAAAAGATTTCTCATTTGTAATGTCATAAACCAACATTATTCCCTGAAAAACCCACAAAAATCAATATTATACCAATAGCTTACATTCTTGTTATTATATATATTTTAGTTTATCCTTAAACATACAGCAGAAACATCTTGATTGCCACTGGAAATTTAATGCCACTATCAGGGTAAATAGGTAGAAAGTATCTTAGCTTACATTTGATCTCTTGGAAATGCATTTGCACTCTACAACCATAAATTATAAATCAATTTTCACCTTGAAAACACAAGGATTACAAGAGTAAGCATTCTCTCACCATTCTGCCAGGCTATACCACTTACTATTGGATTCACACATGGCAAATTATTTTCCTATACTAATCTGCCATCTCATATTTTGCACAATGTTATTCATTGCTTGTATCAGTAGGAAGGGAAAATTAACAAAAACATATCTAGAACTTTAACCCCAATACAACATGTATTTGGTTTATTTGTTTCACCTTCCCTCATGCCTGAATCTGCTCCAGTAAATGTAGCTCCACCAACCATCCTTGCCAGGAGCTAATGAGCCTCATCAAATATAAAGTGTGCTGCATATTTGATTGTCTCGATTTCAGGCACAGTAGGGTTTTGAAATTAAGTAACTAAATCACTATTGTACTGAGTAATGTATTCAGTGTGGTTTCATTTTCTTCTAAAAAAATGTTTGCAGTGCAAGAAATGGTTTTTGATAATTTTTTAGAATCACTGAATGGTTTTGAGCTGGGTTAAGCTTCAAATGTGTAGCAATAGATGGTTATGAACCTACCATTGCTCCTCGGTAGTATGCAGTTGTGATGGTACGGAATCTCTCTTGTCCTGCTGTGTCCCTGAAACCAGAAAGTTAAGATATATAAATTGTATTCATTACCACTAGGAAGCATTTTAGTAGTTCATTTGCATAGCTCCATTATGGTTGTATGCATCATACTTCTATTTAAACTAAATATTGCAGTTGTTAAGTTATATTTTATCCAACCTGTAAAAGGTGCAAATGAGTCACTTAGAACAACGATTTTAGTATCTCAGATTATATAAAATGGAATCAGCATTGTGTCCCGCCCCTGTGCCTCTACAGCCCTTACTGGGTGTGACACTTGGAACTGGTCATAGTACTCATAGGGGAGATTCTCATTCTTGGCAGACAACAAAATGACATTTGTATAGTGCCTTTCACAAGGGGGTTAAACTCCAGCAGAACCCTAATGCACCCGCTGAGGCCCCAAGCTTTGGCTCTGGTCAACCTGCACACAATGTTCTCCAGAATTTGGCAAGCAAAATGCTTTCCTGTAATAACATGCTTCCCTGTAAAAATAGTAATAAAATAACCAGGTGGTTAGTATTGGGACCACTAGTGTTTACAACATATATTGATGATTTGGATTCGGGAATCAGCAGTACAATTTCAAAATTTGCAGACGACACCAAATTGGGCGGAGTAGAACTGCAACAAATTACAGTAAGACATTAATAAACTTGCTGAGTGGCAAATGCATTTCAATGTAGAAAAGTGGAGGTGGTACATTTTGGTAGAAGGATTAAGGAAGTCACATACATCCTGGAAAATAAAAACCTAAATGGGGTAGAGGAGCAAAGGGACCTAGGGGTACACATACAACAATTCACTAAAAGTAGCAACGCAGGTTAACAAGGCCATACAAAAGCAAACCGGGCATTGGGGTTCATTTCTAGAGGGATAGAAATGAAAAGCAGAGAAGTTATGGTAAACTTCTATGGAATCTTGGTTAGACCACACTTAGAATATTGTGTGCAGTTATGGTCCCCACATTATAGAAGAAATGTAGAGGCACTGGAGAGGGTGCAAAGGAAATTCACAAGGACGATCCCAGAACTGAGAGGTTATACCCATCAGGAAAGGAGAACCGGCAAATAACCAAATAACCCACCGGCACAGACCAGTTGGGCCGAATGGCCTGTTTCTGTGCTGTATATTCTAATGTATAAGATTCAGAATATATTCCTTTGATATGCAGTCTGTTTACTATGTTAATACTTACCATATTTGTAGTTTAATTTTCTTTCCCTCTAGTTCTACAGTTCTTATTTTGAAATCAATCCCTGAAAAAAATACAAGTCAGTTAAATAATGGGTAAAACAAAAATAGTCTAGTATTCAAAGTAATCTTGAAGCACAATGTTTTTAGTAAATTAAATAAACATTATGTTCCATTGTGCCCTCAATTTCCAAATAACCCACAACTGTGGCAGTATGACATTTCTTATACATGTACTAACAGCAATTAATGAAGACTAGAAGGGACTGTAAAGTTGATTTCATCTCAGTAGTGTTCAGCCCACAGGAAAAAAAAGTTTCACTCCACCAGTGTGGAGTGGACAATGTGAAGTGAAAGTGGATTAAACTAATTGTTCACTCGGTTTTGCAATGCATGGACTATAAAACAGTAAATCTGATCAAGTTAATAGTCCTTTAAATCTGAAGAACTGAAACCGTTCAATAATGAAATCTATTGCAGTGATCTGAATGAATGGACGCACCTGCATGATTTTCCATATATTAAAAAATACATTGCTTTTGATTCACACATTTCATTCACAATTTGAATCAAACAACTAAAAAGCTCAAACTGCAGTATTAAGTGGTCACATAAATTCAATAATAGGTCTTTGTTACACTACATGTGCCCTTTATTAAAGTGTTATTGAAAACCTAGTTTTGTGGCATTCCCACGCTGGTGACTAACAAACACAGTACAAGTCACAATGATTTACAGAACTAGCTGCAGTTTCACAAAGGACAAGATGCAGAAAAGTGCACCCTTACAAAGAGATCTTTCTAGCAAAAGTTTGAGAAACTTGTGACTGTCAGCTGTTTCAATACCAGAAAACCTCTCTAGTTGCTCAAGACTTTTACAGTTCAAGTTGATCAGCTGCAGCATGTCATTGCTACTGCCACATCATTTTCCTCAAAGAAAGGTCACGAGCTTGTTTCCTGCTATTTCAGGTACATTTTTTTTGCTGCCACAGACATGAACCAACACACTTCCGCATAAACTGTCACGGTTAAAGCATTTTTAATTTAAAAATGACTTTGATTGTCTCTTAATCATCCACATTCTGAATCGTGTACTACAAATTTTTGTACAACTTAACTAATGGGAAGTTTGAAATGTCAGACTATTAATCATGGAAATGCTATTTAAAATCATTCAATGATGCTCTTGTAGCAGGGAGTGCTGAATGACACAAATCAGGTGCTTTCCTTCGTTGAGAAAGGCAAATATCAACTAGATTGTATTTGATGTAGGCTGTTGGTTGCAATGAAGATGCCTTGAAAGTTTTTACTTAAAAAAACAAATTTAGTTCAAATCAATTACTAATTTTCGTCCACTGACTGAATTATCTGATGGAAAGTTTTAGATCAGCAGCATCCTTTCCCACCACTCAATACAACAACAAGAACAACAAATTTGTATAGTGCCTTTCACGTCAGGAGGACATCCCAAGGTGCTGGATCCAAGCTGGGGATTGGGGTGGGGGAGGGTGCAGGGAAATCAAAAGCACAGGCAAAGAGAAGGGTCTTGAGGTGGGTCTTGAAGGTTGCGAGGGAGGAGGTAAGATGGAGGGACTGTGGGATGGAGTTCCAGAGGGTGGGTGCAGAGTAATACGATTAATAACTTAGAAATACTCAACATCACATGAAAATTAAGCCAGGAAAGTCAAAGTAGGAGGGGGCACATAAAATACTTCTAAAAATGTGCGACTACTTTATGGCTTCATTGAAGCACCATGTTAAGGGAAGTTCACATGCAGTTGCTTCCACTTTAATGGACAGCTATGAATGAAAGAAAAAAAGTGATTCTTGACCGGGTCAGGTCTAAAAGACATCAGAATATGCTTAATTCAGAACCGCTAAACTAGATAGCTACATGGCTATAAACTACATAGCTGAATGCTGTATTAAATGGAATACTCCAAAACCACATACTCAACTTACTTCAAAACATTTTATGTGGTTGCCTCCTACTTTGGCTTTGCTGGTTTAATTATTCTGTAATGTTGCTTTTAAGATGTTGATCAAGTTTAATGAATAGTTTGCCCCAGTCACAGATCAACAGTCCAATTGTACAATTCTGATGACTAGGTACCAAACTACAGAAAAGTAAAGGTAAATATGAATTTATACCACACAAAGATGCAATACTACAAAACTCCTGGTAAGCAAATAAAATGTAGGGCACACTTAAATGTATATACAATTTCAGCTGTGAAGCATATAAATGTGACACCATACTATTTGTTTGAATGCAAGTGAATTCCTATCCCAAACAAACAGGTCTACAGGTGGAGGCAACTTGCTACATATGGGTGGTTGGGGGAGAAAGAGAAAAGGAGAGAGAAATAAATATTGCTGCACAAAATATTTTATAATTAAAAAAACTAGCAAAAAATCCACTGGCAACAATATTCTGGCTAGAATACCACCGAATGTTTTTTCCCCCCCACATTTAATAATTGAAGTCTTCTAGCAATGGCACTACCTTGAGTGTAAAAAATTGCTATATAATGCACTTGTGCAATTGAGCAAATAAATTGGGATAACCTTTCACAAGACTATACAAACACTTGCGATATCAATTAAGCGTCTCTGCAACACCAGACTGTTTTTTTTTAAATAAATTCAGCATGGCATTCAACACTGATCGAATTGCTAAGCATTAGGTCACACATTATATTTCAAATAAGAAAATTTACAAAGTCGATTATACTCAAGAATTTCATATACTCACATTGAGAAAATAAAGTGCAACAGATAAAGCATGCTGATTGAGGTTAGTAAGGAAGTGGTAAAATTCACATTGAATTCAAAGTCTGACTCACCACTTCCTGTGGATTCAGCTAACAAAGATGAGTTTTACACTTCCATTCCCCTAACTCTGCAAGTATTAAAAAGCAGAGAAGTATCATATAACAAATGAAGGCGAGAGTGAGTTTTCCATGATCAAAACAAATTCCAACATATCAACAATATCCAAAATAAATAAAATAATCTACAAAGAGTATAAATGATAAATTGTATGCATGGGGATTCACTTTTGCTATTTCAGCACGTCAACCTATTTTATCAAAATAATGTATTGAATGCAAACCGCACACCTATATTTAGCTTTCAAAGATTCATCACTAAAGCTCAACACCTAGATTATTTTATCATCATTTCCTAAAATGAGTGTTATCATCCTGCAAAATACAATCACCACGCTAGATTAACCTGTGAAGAGTTTTGAGATGCAATGAGATACTATATCAAATTCAGGAATGCTTATACATTATATATGGTAAGAGAAACTGTTTCACAAAATGACTTCAAGTTTGAGGTTCACAATACATACAAGGAAATTTCTAGTCATCACTTGGGCTCACCTCAAGTCTCAAGCAAATAGTGCAGTCCGTTTTACTGCACCAAACATTGCTCACCATGAACACCTTAAGTTAAATTTATCAATTTGACAAGTCAGAAGTAAACTGATTTTTTCCAAGATCGTGCTTAGGTCATCTCGTATTAAATGAAAAGCCATCAGGGCTCAAATGTTCTTTTTAAAAAAAACAGGAAAAAGGTTTCCCATTATGCATTAAAAAATTATCACCAGAAAATTTAACAAAACTGAATAAGATATTTAAGAAACCAAAAGCCAAAGACACTGATAGCTAGAGTGAATTTTCACCCTACTAGACCAGTGGTCAGCTTACAATGTTCCACAAACTAGCATTGAAGCCTACAAATGAAAAAATATTCTCATCTCGCCTTCCAGATCAGTAAAAAATGAAAAAGTTGGCAAATACTAAAGCTATCGCCATTGATCTTAAGTATGTTTAAAATACATAAAACTCTGTTAAATTTTCAAAACAGCACAAGTCAAAGCTACAGCAAACTTCAGAATTTGTATCAAGCTCAAGAACAGCATCCACAGTGCAATGAAGATTGGGGTGTCTGTACGTTGGGCAAGTTTCCATACTCCACACGCCTGGCAGCAAGTAGAAACCCAATTGGCGGATCGCTTTTCTAGGGGTAATAATGCCTTCAAAAAATAAATAATTTGGTCACTAAATCCACAACTGTTTGTGGGACACCTCTGTACATCATTGGCTGTTGAGTTTCACCTGTAAAATATAGTCCATTCATCAATTCACTTTACAGTATATCCTGTGAAGCAATTTGCGACATTTTAAAGATGTGATAAGGCAATATATGAAATGCAAAGATTTTTATTATTATAACTTAGTGCCAGTGAAAGTCAGTTTTCAAGGCTATTCAAAGTGATTAAATTCTGAGTTGGGGAATAAAATGGAAAAAAGGCTCAGAAATCCAGATCAAGGCTGCATATTCTTCCATCAAACCCACACAAAACACGCCCAAGATGAAGTCACTCCCTGTGCATACGGTTCACCCCTGAATCCTTTGGAAGAATGTATAGAATTCTTACCGTAAGGGGAATTATAAACCACCTGGGGCACTGAAATTCAGGATCTTTGATTTATATTTCCAGTGATTACAACACAAGAAATTCAAATATTGTAAACGAGTTCAGGGAAAGCATTATTTGAATGGTTTCCATTTGATATGCAAAGCAATTAAGGAACTTCAAGAATAAAGTCCAGTGTTCGGTTACACAGCAAGAATTACTGTAACTATCCACTATTGTGAAATTGAATTTGTTTGGATCTCATCAATAAACTATAGTAATGGGATCCGATAGAATCAATTGAAAGTCTAAAACAGCCCAATTAACCTCAAAAGTATTGACTATTTAAATTGTGGGAACTAAATGACTATCAAAATCTGAAAAAAGATCAGAAAATCCTAAACTTGATCTTTGAACTTTTCTTTTGGTCAGCCAGGTGTCTGACACATGCAGAAAACCATCAACTTTGAACTATGAGTTCAAGCTGTCTCACACCACAGGCTGCCGAAACCCTCATACATCCCTATATTACATTGAGGCTTGACTACGCAAACTCATTGCTTGTCGTCCTCCCCTCCACAGGCTGCAGATCATCCAAAACTCTGCAGCCCATGTCCTCTCCCGCACTAGGTTCTGT